AACATCACTGACTCTGTTTGGGATTATTTGGATTATTTGGTGGAAAATTCTTCCTGTAAATTTCTTTGAAAAACTTGAAGCAAGTTTCCTTAAAATGTGGAAAGAGTAGAGATTGAACAGTTTGATACTACATAGTTCTGTGTAATCTTCTGTTGAAAAATTGTTTTCTGTTATTTTCCTCATGCTAAAAATTTAATAACAGATTAAATAAATGAAAGATGGTCTGCAGAGTACTGTGCAAGATTAATAATTTAATCTTAGATCTATTTTAATAACAGTGTTTGGATCTGTGATTTTGTTACAGACAGCACTAAAGCTGTGGCGTCCATAAAGCCTGATAAACAGGTGTTTAAAGGAGAGGCGGTCACCCTGAGATGTGACACACAGGCAGGAGGAGACACTGAGTGGACTTACAGCTGGTATAATGATGACCGTTTGTCCTCAAACAGAAGAACACAGGAGTTCACAATCAGCTCTGTTACAGAGTCTAACGGTGGTAAATACACCTGCAGAGGAGAAAGAAAACATGACTCTCAGAGCTCAGAGATCAGTGATGCTGTTACACTGACTGTGTCTGGTGAGTCTGTGGATTTGTTTTAATATTCTCATTAATTATACTGTATGTAATGATCTTATCACTGTGTATAAACTTGATTTAGTCTGTTATATTCTCCATGTTCTCTCTGTCAGATGTAGCTCAGGCAGTATTGAGTGTGTCTCCACAGAGCTGGCTGACTGAAGGAGACTCAGTGACTCTAAGCTGTGAGGTTACAGGCTCCTCTACAGGCTGGACATTCAGCTGGTACAGAGCTGTTCTCTACAGACAAGGCTTACAACAAATAAGAGACATTCATGGCAAAGTTCTGTATCATGTAGAGCTCCTGTCAGACAGCAGAAGAGAAGCTGGAGACTCCTACACTCTCAGTCCTGCTGCTCTAAATCACACAGGAGTTTATGTGTGCAGAGCAGAGAGAGGAGAACCAGCCTATCAGACACAGTACAGCACTCCACAGGCACTATGGATCACTGGTGAGGAGATACAGAGAAGGATTAGTATATATATATATGTTGTATTGATCAAACCCATTCAGTTATGTTAGTATTTAGCATTAGCAACATGCTACCTGTGTATCTTGTGTGCATGTTCAGGTTCATCTCCTCCAGTCTCTCTGATCATCAGTCCCAGCAGAACTCAACACTTTAGTGCTGGCTCTCTCTCACTGAGCTGTGAGGGACAGAGTGACTCTACTGGATGGAGAGTGAGACGATACACACACAGTGGGGAGGTGTCAGATTGTTCATCAGTCACAGGATCTACATGCAAAATCAGCTCCCTCTACACATCCCTCACTGGAGTTTACTGGTGTCAGTCTGAATCTGGAGGAGGAAGTGATCCTCTCAACATCACAGTGCACAGTGAGTCTACATTACTCTAAGCAAGAATAGGGGTTTAATATGACACTTTTATTGAAGCTATTTAATTAATTAATTGTTAAAAATGTCAATATTTTCATACTAGATTAACACTTCAGTATAGGAGCCCTTTTCCTTATGATTTCTATGAATAATCTTGTGCACTATCACTGCGTGAGTGATGGGTCTATATGAATGCACTTATTAATGAACTCTGTGATAAAATACATAATTAGTTACATCGTGTCCCAACAGAGTTGTTTATTTTTGTTTCTTTTCAAAACAGTAGTTTAGTGTTTCCTTTTGATTCTTAGTACATTACCAACCTCAAACTAAAGAACTGACCTGCTAGTTTAAAGTGCAATTTCTATTTAAAATGTAAACCTAAGAAGTTGTTACTTCACTCTAGTTCACTCACTCTCTCCTACAGATGGTGATGTGATTCTGGACAGTCCTGTCCATCCTGTGACTGAGGGAGATTCTCTGACTCTCCGTTGTTTATATCGATCCACAAAGTCCTCAAACCTCACAGCTGATTTCTATAAAGATGGATCACTGCTCCAGACCCAGACTACAGGAGAGATGATCATCCGTACTGTCTCAAAGTCAGATGAAGGTCTCTACCACTGTAAACACCCAGAGAAAGGAGAGTCACCCACGAGCTGGCTCTCAGTCAGAGGTGAGGACACAGTTTCATGTTATTTTATTCTTTCTATAACTCTACAATACACCCACTGTAAATACAAATTCATTGTTTCTTTTTCCAGCTTCAAGTTCTGGATCTGGATCTACAATGGTAGGAGTGGCAGTGGGACTGAGTCTAACCTTGCTCCTCATTATAATACTGGGCCTGATTTGCTGTTGCAAGAAGAACAAAGGTTTGAAAACACACTTTGTCTGTCCTGTATCAGTTTATGCAGCTGAGTAAAGACAGATTTCTGTGAGCTGTGCTGTTTGTACTGTAGCTGATATAAAAGTATAGTTTGAATCTCCTATTTAAAGATGTATTTTAGCTTCAACAAATGCCTGTAAGTGAAAAAGCATATAAGCTATGTTTTTACTTTCACCGTGAAGGTGCAGGATCTCTGTCTCCATCTACTGGATATCAGCAGAACACCAATAAAAACCAGAGTCTGTCAGGGTCTGGGGGGTCTCTCTCAGGAAACCCACCACTGCGGGCTGATCAGTTTGCATTACCAGCATACAGTTACAGTTACACTGTTTCAGTACAACAGTAGTGAACACATTTATGGATTATTGATTATTATTATTGACTATTGATATTTAACAGGAACACAGCTATATTTCATCTCTTCTTTGTTGATACTTTTTAAGTGAGGTATCTTTGATGATGTGATGATGAACACAGTGGCGTCTCTGATGAGTAACTTCTTCTGTTCCAGATGATTCTGCAGCTCAGCCCAGTGATGTAACTTACGCTCAGATTGAGACTACAAACAACTACAAAGGAAACAGTAAGAACTGCATCTCTACAATAACAGAGATATATTTTCTCTTTAATTGTCTTTGATATAATCTAAATTATTTCTGTATCAGATGAAGCAGTGAGGAGACCAAATGGTGTGACTTATTCCCAAATTCAGATGAAAAACTTGAGACACCACAGAGAAGGTATGAATGACCTAATATACTTTTATTTTCTTCAAAGGATCATATAAGACTGACTGTGGTAGCACAAAGCATTAGCTGTTCCTGTGTCATGCAACACCATCGAAAACAATTACAGAACAAATAAATTAATATGTTAATTTTTTTTACTCATTGAAAAAAAGATACTGTGTTGAGGCCACATTCTGCACTTTACTCACATATTAATACAAAAATATGAAATAAGGGAAAAGGTAAATGTTTGCATAACACTATAGTAAAATATGTAATAACAGATACATACAGTTTTACACCCATCATATATATATATATATATATATATATATATATATATATATATATATATATATATATATATATATATGTACATATATACACACAGTTTGCTTCTTCTCATTTTAATTGTTGTAAAATTATCATCAGTGATATTAGGGCACCCTTGGCCAAGTTACATATTTTGTTGTTTTTGAAAAAAAAAGATGTTAACTCAACCTATAGTAATAATAATAGTAATAATAATAATAAGAAGAATAATAAGAATAATAATTAGTACATTTATTTATAGTGCACTTTTCATACCAGTGGCAGCTCAAAGTGCTTTACAGACAGGTGATAAAGTTTTAAAGTAATAGATTTTCTTCTATTATACACTCTCAGAAAAAAGGTACAAAACAAAAAAGGTCACTGGGGTGATACCCTCAAGTGTACATCTCAGTACCTTTAGTCAGGGAATGTTTTGTTCTGTTTTAAAACATTAGGTTATGAAAAGGTACAAATACATACTTCTCACCTGGAAAAACGTATTTAAGATTCACAGTTGGACCATAAAACCACTGTTGTACCTTTGAGGGAACATTTACACTGTTTGTACCCTGATGAACTAAAATGCATCTGCACAGAACCTTTATTTCTAACAGTGTAGTTACTGTGAGTGTAAGTCTCTTTCAGATAATCTGAGCTCTCTCTGGTTCCCCTGTAATATAAACACAGCATGAAGCTTAAAAAGATTTCACAGCTTTATTAAAACCTAGACTTGATCTCCAGATGACAGTATTGTCTGAGTCAGTAAGTGAAGGTGGAAGCTGAGTGTGTTTAAAATACAAATGATTGTTTTTCTTGCAAAACAAATTTCTGCACATTTGTGCTGAGGAGGATTTCACTGCCTTCCTTCTTCCCTCATGATGTACAGAAAGATTCAGACTGTAAAGACACAATATGGATCTTTAGTGGATTTTACAAACATCAGGTTTATCTGCACTGATCCTCATTTTTCAGATACATCGACTAAACTCCATTGAGAGTGTAGTGGATTGTTTTAAAGAAGAAGGAGTGGAAAATTAGTTGTAAAAAAATAATTTAATTTTGCTACTTATCTCATTTGCACCAAAGTAAAACATTTTCAAAAAAGAAAAAAAGAAATTAAATGTGTTATATTATCATGTCTTCCTGTTTGAAACCAAATTTTTAATAATACTACACATTGACCTACTTTCTACCCCTAATCTGGTGATGTATTTCAGGAGATACACACTTTTTTAAAGTCTCTGATTAACACCAGGAACACCATTAGACCATGTATTTCTTCATCAGCATATTTAGACAATAGTCATGATTAGTTTCATAAATTTATGTTATTGTTTTATTGAAAATAACTTTGATTAATAAATAATTATTATTACCTACCACCTGGTCAGTAAGTCCTGCAGCACTGGTGGCCATGATGATTTGATCTCATCTCTCTGAGCAGGCTGACTAAACGATGGCGTATAAGCTGAATCATGTCATGTGATACGTGATAAATTAATTAGGTGAAAACCTTCCATCATGCTCTTTATAGGATGTTGGTGTATCTGGTGCACGCGGCCTGTTTTAGGGTTAAATAAACCCTAAGCTTTATCAACTGTCAGTTGTACACAAATATGTAATTCATAAAGTGCTTTTCTCTTGTAGGTCTATGAAGAAAACTGCTGTTGTTGTTGTTTCAGTACAGACAAGTAGCCATTTACAGAAACTCCTGGTTTGGGTTTTAAGGAGTGCAGACAGAAGAGGATCTGAACACATTTAGACTGTCAGAATTATCTTTAATATCTGTATATCTTTCAATAACAAACGCTCTGTTACTGTTTTATACTGATGAAGTGAAAAGAGTCTCACTTTTTCTCATTTTTTATTACTGTACTTTTCTAATATTGACTCTGAGTTTAGGAATAATCAGATATTCTGAACTCTGCTTGGAGTCTTTCATGATAATATCTGAGCATGTTAGCTAGTCAAATTTAAGGGTGTAATGATTTTAAATCAGTGTTTGTGCATCAAAATCTAAAACCGTACAGTCAATACACTCCTCTGTGTCTACCTGCTTTAGTGTTGCTTATAGCTCAGTTGTTTTTTTAAGATCATTATTTTGCAGGACATACGACACTGCAAACTTATTTTTAATTAAATTTATATAGTGTATGTATACATAATTACAGCTCTGTAGAATCAAGACCTTTAAACACATAAAATGTTGAAAATCAAATTAATCTTGATCTTAGAATCAAGAATTAAATCAAAACTGTAAATATGTCTATAATAGTTACTAAAATTTAAATGTTTTCTACACAATTCAAAAAGGTCTAATTTCTTAATCATTAATATTATTATAAAAAGACTCATCAGTCTCATCTCATCTCTCTTCTTCTCTGAGTTTAGTGAGTTAAATAGAGTTTAACACTCTCTGTTATGAGTAATAATACACTGTACACATACAGCAGTTTACAGAGAGTTTATCATAGCAATATTAAAGTTAACATTTAATCATACTAGACAGACAGTCACACAGTATCATCACAAACATACTATGTGACAGATTCGAACATTAACATTTTTTGGTTGTTTTTTATATGATTACATATTTTTGGTCCTCATGAGTTTTGATGCTTAATGTATTTGAATCTTTTTCATTTTATATATTTTATCTTATCCTTATGTCTAACTAAACTAAACCATATTCATAAACTGATGATCGATAAAATGCAGTGTGGTCATTTGTTCTAATATTCTCATTTATAATGTATTCTGACCTATTTGTTGATTTTTTAGAAAGCAGTTGAAGTTACATTCATAATCATTTTATGTTTTATGAAATGAAGTATTACTTTTTTATGAATTTTTGCTGATGTCTGGAATTAACACAAATAAATACTTTCTCTAAGCACAACACCTCTTATGTTCTGTTCTTTATTCAGAGACAGATATTACCTTTGATAGAGTGCTTATTTACCCGTGGGGAACTTCAGGCCTTCTAGGCCTTCAGAGGGGGTCTAATGATTTCTGGGGACTAAAAAAAAATATTACAGTTGTTGTGTTTAAACTCTGCAAATTTGATAGTAATTCTGTTATTTCACTGTTAATGTTTGCTCAGAAACAAAGGATTAAAATCTTAAAACAGAAAATTACATTTTGTTCTTCATTGTGAAAGTTCTCTCTAAGCCCAGCTCACCACACAGCATTTTACCATCACTGCATTAAACTAAACCCAGAACCAGACCACAAAAACATAATAATAGCTCACACATAGCTTGAAATGTACACTGAGGAACCTGCTCGTGGAACCTGCAGGTGGTCGTGAGCCATATGAGTCTATTAAAATAAGTTCCCTCCTGACTGATGTGGACAAATTACACCAGATTTAGTATCAAACACAAGACAACACACAGCATCCAAAAACTCGAGATCTTTGTTTTTAATGAACGTGGTAACACCACCATGAGACTTCTCAGCTATTCATCACCTCTCTATGACTGCATTAACATAAACCACCAACCAGAGCACTAAGAGCTGCAGTAAATCACAGGGGATTTAAAATTTACAACAAGAATGCAGTTAATCTGAAGTGTGACTCATCTATTTTAACCTCAGCTAACATTATTGGCCTCATCACATTTTATCTTGTACCTTTAGTTTGTGAAAAAATAGTAAATGTAATTATTTAACTTATGACAATTAAAACCTGAGGGACAAATGTTCTTGTAAGAACTTCACGTCAAAGTCTTGGACATATTAGACAGTTATCAATCAGTCAGTTCTCGTAGTCGATGCTTTGGATACGGGAGAAACAGGCAGACGTGAAAACCTGAGTGACTTCAACAAGGATCAGATCATTATGGGACAGACTCCAGTCATCAATCATTTATGAATAATTATTAAAGTGTACAGATATTAATCAAATGAAAAACACATGAGACTGTGAAATTAGACTGTGAAAAAGTGTGTTGTGTCTGTAAACTCTTATCTTGTCAAAATGCTGTTTTATGTTACATGCAGGCTAATTTGAAGTGACCTATAAAACAGCAAAATAAAGAGCTCAAAGTCAGGAGCTCAGCTCTCCACATTTACAGCATTTATCATTTATAAATTTATAGAATTAATTAATTGGTTAATTATTTAGCAGAGAACAGAAAACCTCACACACAAAGACATAAAACTGTGGGAACGTCTCACTGATCATATATATTTAAAGTCGTGAGTAAATTGTTTGTGCACTTTCCCAGCCACATTTAGTCTCAGAGGCCTGAGAACAGAGAGGAGTTAGAGATGTGTTTGTGGTCTGATTTCTATTCTAGTAAAACTGCAGTAATGACAACATCAACCAAATAAGAACTGAAACCTAATGATGTTTTTTAAATTATACTTATTGCATCATTTATGTAAAGCTATAAAGTCATATTATTACTAGATAATCTTTTATTCACGTATTTATAACCTTACTGATCTTCATCTTTCAGGCTCTTGTCATGTCTTTCCTTACAGTCTCAGCAGATTCATAATGCTGGGTCTCACTGCTTTGGTGTCTTTGCCACTGAGAGGTGAACCGAACTTTCCCCTGAACTCTGCACTGCAGTCAGTTCTCACGCTCAGTTCTTTCCTCTGTGGTCTGAAGACTCGTATCTTCAGGTATTACCTATTTTAACACCTTTCTGCTCTCATTCACACTTCATTTATTCACAGATGTGCCAATTACCTAGTAATACCAGATGCTAACAACAGTCACAACAGTCTTTTTTTTCTTTGACCCAGAGAACACAACATCCATTATTTCCATGGACAAACTAGAGGTTTGACTTGTTAAACAGAAAAAAAAACCCGTTTCCACTGTTCATCAGTCCATTTTAGATGAGCTTCAGCCCAGAGAATTCTGCAGCTTTTTGGACGTTGTTGAGAAATGACTTACACTGTGCACAGTACAGTCTAAACTTGCATTTCTGTATGCAGCGACAGACGGTACAGTGGCCCAGACCCCATGAGGTGATCTCCATCACAGAAACATGCCAGTTTCTAATGCAGTGCCATCTGAGGGGTCAAATTTCTTGGGCATTTATAGATTTTGGCTTTTTCTGAATTTTTACTGCTTTTATACTCACACATTTGTACCAGCTGTTTAAGATGTTTTTGAACATTTCACAATGTTCCTAGTCTTAAATTGCTTCTGTCCAAGTTTTAACACATTGTAGACATCGATTTTAGAATGAGTGTTTTTAAAAAAAAACAATGAAGTTGATAAAGTAGAACATTATATCTTCTCTTTGAACTGTTTTCATTCAAATACATTTCAAAGTAGATTTAAAATCATTGCCTTCTGTTTTATTTGTATTTTTATATACTGTCTTAAACTTTTTGGACTTGGGTTTGTAGGATTGAGGCTGAAAACAAAAAACATTAAGGCAGAACACAAGATCTCTCTCTCTCTCTCTCTCTCTCTCTCTCTCTGTCTGTCTCTCTCTCTCTCTCTCTCTCTCTCTCTGTCTCTCTCTCTGTCTCTCTCTCATGTGCTTTGTCTATGGGTAAAAAGGAAGTGTTTAGGTCATTGGTCAGTCAGTCATTACTGGGGCAGTATGGAGCTCTGTCTGCTCTCTCTGATGCTCTGTGAGTAAAGATTATCTTATATTGCTGTAGCTTATTTGTATTTGAATATTTATTATTTTGTACTGTATTTGTACTGTAATTGTTTTTTACAGCTTTGATCCACATTTCATAGTGTAATTTACATTCTGGCTTAAAAGAATAAGACACTCATTCCAGTTAAAAAAATCCACACATTTAAAGAAGGTGTTTGTGGCTCTTTCCATGGAAGTAAAATAGCTTTCTGAGCTACCAGTGCAGGACAGAAAATCAATGTAGCTGATACTTTACATACAAGTGTGTCACTATAAACCATTAGTCTTGAAGATAGTGGTATGTTAACTTTTTAATTTGTTATTGTTATTAACATTAGTAACTAGTAACTCATGGTTTTGCCGCTGAGCTGCTCTCTTCAGCTGGAAGCTAAGAGTAGCAGCGCGCTGTCCAGGGTCAGATGAGACAGGCAGGTCTCTGTGAAGCAGAGGGCAGATGTGGTTGAAAAGTATTGGTAGCTTTGATTGAGCAGAAGTAGTTTTTTCAATTTGCTGCGTGTAAAGAACAGTTCAGGTAATTATTTATTGTCAAATTATTTGAGTTTATGGCAACCAGTTCATCAAACTCTTTCACTTCACTCATCAGTTTTACAGTGTAGTTAATATTTTACACTAATATATCATGTTCTCTGTTCCTCTCCTACTTTAGTGCTCATCCATCATGGACAAACTCAAGGTGAATCATTACATGAACATTTACTGGATTATTTCATTCATATTCATGTACATTTCCATATAATTCTATTCCTTTAATTGATGATTTCACAAGTGGCTGAAATCAGTTAAATCGTAAGTGATAACACATTCATTGTACATGAAACAGCAGTGCATTCATAAATGAATTTGTTCATCAATCCATAGTTAATAATGTAGATTATAGATGTATTTCACTGTAAGATACACAATACATTAAAGTCCAATCTGGCTGCACAGAAACATTCATAGAACACAGACACAATAAACTCATTAGGCTCATTATGATTAAGATGACTACTCCTTATATTGAGAAAAGCAGCTCTGCT